ACAAGAGCCGGAAAACAAAAGCCAAACTGGACTGGGTGAACAAAATTGCAGCAGAGGATCCAGACTTGTGGGAGCGAGAGCTGCGCGGCAGTATCAACAATGAGCAGTGGTCCAAAGTCAACATTGAAATCGCAAAAGAGCGCTTTAACCAAACTGGAGGTTCGTTTTCCGCTCGTACAATGTCTGTATGTGCCCTGACTCATAAAGACGCACGTCACTGCTGGCTTCTCTCTGTTCATCGTGTGCGTGACACTTTCAGGCGTTCACATGCTCCAGTGGATGATCGGCTGTGAATGGGATGACGAGACTGGTGAGGTGGATGGTTGGAAACAGTACAGTTATGACGGAGAAGACTTCATCTCATTTGAGTGGAAAACGATGAGATGGATCGCAGCGAATCCACAAGCTTTTATCTCAAAGAACAAGTGGGAACGATTGGACGGCCTCAAAGAATACTGGAAGAGTTACGTCACTGAGATTTGTCCTGCTGCCTTGAAGAAGTATGTGAGCATTGGGCGGGACTTCCTGATGAGAACAGGTGCGGTGGCCTCTCACACTCTCGTTGTCTCAGCCGTTCTCTTCATCTGTCCATCGTCCTCGCACGCTCTCGCTTTCTTTCACCCTCTCGATATGCTCGCCGCCGGTTGTCCTCCTCACACACTTCTCGGCGCGTTTCCAAATTGTCAATCGCTTGCCGTTTCCTTCGCCGTCTCACACATTCCCACCATCTTCCATTCACAGGTACCATATTTCGCTCTCATTTTAGCCCTCATTGACCCCTCTCACACATTGCCCCTTTTGCATTCTCACCCTTTCTCCGTCCTTCAAGCCGTCGCGTATTTTGCTTGACTTTTGTCCGCTCCTGCTTTCCCTCCGTCTTTATCCGGAAGCGTTCCGGTCATCTTTTGCCCTCACACATTTCCTGAGCGTCATCCTCTTGCGCATTCTCTCCCTCTGTCATGTTCCATATTCGACAGCAGGTGGCAGGCACTCACTCTGCCACCTGCTGCGCATTTGTTTGTGATTACACCTGCTATATCTAGGCGCTCCGGCTGTCAACTCATTGCCGGAGTATTGCTTGCCGTGCCATTGCTATTGCCCATGCTCGCATTTGTATTTCGTATTTCGTACTCTATTGCTGTTTCGCTGCTACTTCGTCATCCCAGTGGGATTATCTTTAACACATAGTGCTCCGCGTAAATTGTCTTATCTTTTCCTTGCCGTTTTTTGCAAGCGCTTTCTTTTCTCACTTAACATTATTTCCTGGTTCTCGTTTTGACCAGCGTTTTCCGTTGTCCTTTAAGACGGTATTTTTTAATTTGTAATAAATATTATTTGTTTAGACAAGACCTTTTCAGTGCCTGCTATTTCGGGGATCCACCTATTCTTGTTCGCTCCGTTGCGTACGAAGCAGTTCTCTCTTTCTGCCTAGTACGCAACGTGACACCCTCCTTCTCTTCTCACACAATTTCTCCTCCCACATTTCTCTTTGCAAAGTTGTTCTCGCACTTTTTCTCCATCTTTGGTCCTCCCACGTGTTCTCCTGTAGTCTTTGGTCCCCCTAAGTCGTTCTCTCCCTCTTGGCCGCAGAGCTTCCCAGGGTGTCTCTCCTCCAGAAGACGCCTTCCTCTCCGGTCACCTGCCACGCGACGGGTTTCTACCCCCGCACATCGGATCTTTTTTGGAGGAAGGACGGCGAGCAGCTGCACGAGGACGTGGAGATGGGCCAGACGCTCCCCAACCACGACGGAACCTTCCAGACCGCGGTCCACCTGAAAGTGGAGGCGGCGCCCGACGCGGAGGCCAAGTACGAATGTGTGTTCCGGCTGGCCGGCGTCGAGGAAGCCATCGTCGTTAAGTTGGACGGCAAAAGCATCCTGAGCAACGCGCGCGACGCAGGTGAGCGCCGCGCACCCGCTTGAATCGTTGCATCACCTCGGATTCATTCTCGCCGAACGGTGTCATGACGAGCTCTTCGCTTGCTTCTCTTCATCTTCATCGCCCACATCTTTGTTGCCACGTGAAAAGAAGAACGAGTCAAGATGGTGGTGGCCATCGCTGTCACCTTGGGGGTCCTGGCTCTGCTGGCGGCGGGGGGGGCGGCGGTCCCTGCCCACAGCTGCCCGAAGGTGAGGGACGCCAAGATCTTTTCTGCCGTGAAGATCCAAAGAGAACTTGCGCCACTTGTAGCAAAAAGTCCGTCATCCTAACTTTCTTTCTCTTTCCTTCCAGCCCGATACTCTGCAGCGCGTGAGTAAAACATTTTCTGTTTCCTTTGAGCCACAATAAACGAGGCAGTTCAACGAAGGTCCAATTTAGGCCTTTGCCGCCAAAGTGTGAATCAGGAGTCTCTTGAAACAGCAGGAAAAGTCAGCTGTGTGACGATGCACACGTAAATGTTCATGTGAGAAGCGCTGTGAGAAGCTCTCGCTGTGCAGAAAAAAAAACAACTCCATCGGTGACTTTCATACGAGTTGAATTTGTTGAGTGGCCACGCTCGAAACCGAAGCCACGAGCCTTGCAAATCCTATTTGTCCACTGAAATGAACGGAAATGCCAATCAGCCGTTTCAGCCGTCCCCAAAAAGACAACAACAATGGTTTTTCCGGTGTCATTTCAAAGAGCCGTCCCTGAAATTATATTTAAAAAATAAAAATCATACATAAACGCACAGAGTCAGGAGATAATGAAATCGATTTTATGAGGTACAACATGTTTGTTTTTGTTTGGTCTCACTGCTGATTGATGGCCACTGAGCTTCGGCCATCTTGGACAGTTTAAGTCAGACGCAAATTAAGGCGTCTCAAATCCTTTGAGGTCATCGGTACGTCACTAATGTTAGTTGTTTCGACACGGAGGATAAAGAATGCGCAATATGACACCGTCTACTGTGTAGTGCAGACGCGGCAACAGTTGTAGGAAAAAAAGACGCAAGTAGAAGAT